TTTGTTCAGGGGATCAGTACGATAGCAATGCACTGGAAAAACGTTATCGACAGCTGAATAGGGAGCATGTTTAACTCCGAAGCAAATGATGATGGAGAAAAGGGTCTGATTGCGTTGTAATTTCACAGAATGAGAGTAGGGGGAATTTAGAGGTGAGAGAAAAAAAAGTACAAGAGAAAATACAATACAAAGACACAAACCTACAGAGGCAACTTTGCAGTTAAAGTGGTCGGAAACTTAGAAGGAACTCCAGAGATTGGGATGGGCACTCACTTGTGTCCATTTAAGAGTCTTGACAACATCCTGTGATGTTGCTTTTACAGTCATCTTCCTGTAGATTTTCCAAAGTAATGTGCTCGTTATTCACTGGTGTAGATTTAATGGATTTTTTAAACTCCACAGCTTGCAGACCAGAAGTTAAAACAAAGAGTCCATTCGAGTGACTGTAGTCTCTTTCAATCCCAGTCACATGACTACTGACATTATCAGGACATTTCGAGGATCTTTTTCTATCAAACATTTGTGTGCTTCTGCTGATTTCCCGTAAGAAAACATTTCACATGCGCTAAAAGTCTCTAAAACATACACACTGTACATGAAATCTACACATATCTTAAAGCTCTTGGTACAGTTATAAAGTACAACTCAAAATGGCAAAATCCATGAATTGTCAATGTTTTTACCTGCACTTGCACATGTTCATTCACAAGTCTGCATCAACATTTGTCATTACATGTAAAAACAAAACAAATAAACAAAGGGAGGAAACTAGACTTTTTTGGTAGTTGTGAAATGTGTAAATCTCTTTTTCTCAATTCAAAATTACAGTTTAAAAATATTAAACATAAACCATCATTATAATGCAGAAAACTAATGAAAAAGCGATGAAAAAATAAAGGACCACTTGAAAATTCTCAGCTTCTCTGGATTTACAATTGATACTTGTTTCATGTTTAAGCAAACCCAATTTTTCTTTTATTCTGAAAACTGCTGATGGCATTTCCCAGCAGACACAATGTCATAAGACATTAATATTAGGTTAGATTTAGGTCGCCAGAATCTAAAGACAACGTTATTTTGACGTCCAATAACGACATCAAATGACATTAATATTTGGTTGATTTTAGGTTGTGTTGGAAAGTGACCAAAATCCAACGTTGAGCAAAAATCTTAAACCAACATCATATTGACATTTATTCATCAGGTATGGCAACCAAAATCCAACATAGACGTCATAGTGGTAACGTTCACACAACGTCAAGCTGTAACATCATTAGATGTTGACATTTTGTTGTTTTTAGGTTGCATTGGAAAATAACCAAAACGCAATGTCTATCTAATGTTGGACACTGATGTCAGCCTGATGTTGGGTTCTGACGTCAACCTGATTTTCATTTCTAAACAAAATGCAATGTTCACGATGTTGGTGTACAAAGTCAATCTAACGTCATATTGACGTCCTATTCCTGCTGAGTTGTTATGACCTGTAGTTTTTGTTTGCATCATTTCGATCTATATGGTATCTTGTTTCTTCTGAAAGCCGACCCCCCCCCCCAACCCCCCCACCCCCACCCCCCGCCTTTTTTTTCCCCCCTTCTCTCTCTTTGTTCTAGATGGGCATGGCCAGTAAATAATAAATAGATGTGATAATTGGTCCAGCATCATGACTCCAGCTAAACTGGCTAAACTCCAGCTCCAGGGGTCACCAGTGTCTTACATATTTTAACTCCAAACCTATTTAAACACACCTGAACAAGCTAATCAAGGTCTTACTAGGTATACTTGAAACATCCAGGCAGGTGTGTTGAGGCAAGTTGGAGCTAAACCCTGCAGGGACAACAGCCGTCCAGTACCGAGATTGGTGCTTCCTGCTCTATGCCTTCCCTCACACAATCGTTTCATTTAATACATTTTCTTACTCACAACAACCAACCCATTTTCTGTTACAACATCCAGGGATAAACCATAACAGAAATAAAAGAAGTTTATTGTTAGTGAGAAAAAAATATGAAACTAAATGATTGTGTGAAGAATGTGTCGAACCAAAGAGATATGGCAAAAATGAAAGTATTTATTGGTTTGTTGAGAATCACTTCAGGGACAGACAAGGCCAAAATAATAAACAAAACATGTCTTTTGTTTCCCTAACAAAAAACAATATAAATACATGAAAAGTCCTCATGTCCTCTACTTTTCTTATTTACTCCCAGGGCCATTTATATTCATTCATTCATTTTCTTGTCAGCTTAGTCCCTTTATTAATCCGGGGTCGCCACAGCGGAATGAACCGCCAACTTATCCAGCAAGTATTTACGCAGCGGATGCCCTTTCAGCCGCAACCCATCTCTGGAAAACATCCACACACACGCTCATACACTACAGACAAATTAGCCTACCCAATTCACCTGTACCGCATGTCTTTGGACTGTGGGGGAAACCGGAGCACCCGGAGGGAACTCACGCGCAGGCAGGGAGAACATGCAAACTCCACACAGAAACGGCAACTGAGCCTAGGTTCGAACCAGCGACCTTCTTGCTGTGAGGCGACAGCACTACCTACTGCGCCACTGCCTCGCTCAGGCCATTTATATCGAAGTTGTTATTTAGCCGCATCATGTTGGTGTTTTGTAACATCTAATTTTTACGAGGTGGGTCATTAGCTCAATGCTCAACCTTCAACCTGGCGGACCAGAACATACACACATACACTACGGACAATTTGACTAATCCAATTCACCAATAGTGCATGTTTTTGTACTTGTTGGGGAAACTGGAGCACCCAGTGAAAACTTATGTGAACACGTGGAAAACATGCAAACTACACATAGAAACCTCAACTGACCCAGCTGAGGATCGAACTAGCAACCTTCTTGCTATGAGGTGACAATGCTACCCACTGCTACTATGTCGCCCTCTCTACTTTTCTTGAAGTGACAAAAACAAAGTTTTCCTAAACTTAATGTAATGCATAATCCCGAATCACAAATCTTAATCAAGGTCTTTAAACAGGCAGAGGTCAAAACGGGGAATTCTCAAAACTAACAAATAGAACAACTATATCTTTCTAATTGAAACACAAACCAGCAATCAAATTAACAACACATAGTAATATGATTATAGCAAACGATTTAAATTCAAGTAACGGCGATGGCACAAAGTGGCAACAGAGTGAAGGCTTAGAGGGCCTTTACATCTGGAGTAATGCTGCTGGACCAATCACCACATCCATGTTATATTCACTGACCATGCCCATCTAGAACGAAGAAAGTGAAAGACAGAGAGGGAAAAAAATAATTTTGAAATATCACAGAGATCAAAATGATCCAAAAAACAAAACAAAACTACAGGTCATAACACATTTCTTCCAAATTTAGATATGTCTAAATTTTAACATAATTTACAGCATAAAAAAGCTGCCATGTTTTCAGACGTGTAAGTACTTATTTTTTATACAAAACAATACCAATATTTTACCTTAGAAAGGTTAGGAAATCAATATTTGGTTAAAAAAAAGCTTTCAATCACAACAACTGAAAATGCCTTCATTTCAAATTCAAATGATTTGTTAACATTTTACATAAACCCACACCTAATCCAGTAAATCCAGGATCAAAACGAGAATTTGGGCAGATTTTTTTTTCAGAGCTGTAGGTAGCAAGGATGGATTATGAAACAGAATTGGAAAGAACAGAAGCAGGAGAAAAGGAAAAAGTCAGAAAAGAGCAAGAAAAGAGAACAATGAGCTGCGTAATTGTACTAAATGACACGTTGACCTTTTCCACTTCCTCAGGAGAGCAAAGAAAACAAACCAAAGGAATGAGAGGTGAGAACAAATGAGAAGAAGACCAGGAGGGAAAAAAAAGAAAGGGCAAGAGATGAAGGCAGACACTTGAACATGAGGGGAAAGAAGAGCGGCATTCTCATTCTAGATGTCTGACCTTTGGAGAGTGAACTAGAGAGAGAGAGAGAGAGAGAGAGAGAGAGAGAGAGAGAGAGAGAGAGAGAGAGAGAGAGAGAGAGAGAGAGAGAGAGAGGGCAGTGAATGTGCTGATATACATGTTAGCTTTCGCACATGAAACAGGGCAGGATGGCTCATTTAAATTAACATTACGACACAGGGTCTAAAGGCATGCGTGAACAATGACATGTATATGAGTGCTAGGTAAACACACTCAACGGGCTGAAAAAGAGATTCCCCAAAACACACTCCAACTTGTGCTGAGTCAGAATTTCACACTCGGGAAAAAGACGAGACAATACCACATTTCCCTTTCATCTCACTTCCACAAACACACACACACATAAACAGCCTCCATCTGCGTTTGTGCGAGATGAAGAGTCTGGCTGATGATCACTTGGCAATGGCGATCAAACAAAGTGGCCAATATGCTCACTAATGGCCTGTCAGACAGATGAGAGACAAACTCCCACAGAAACCTTTGCACTGATCTCCTCCCAGACTGCCTCTCGCTTTCATTCCCCTCCCCATTTTACACACTTTCTCCTTTTATGCTAGCTTTCTTCTTCAAACATGAAAACTAAGTGGAGATTTGGCCTTGGCTTGTGTGTTCAAAGTATTAACTGTGTAATACGAGCGAGAATGCTGACAGAAGGAACCATTCTAATATTTCATTGTCGTACATGGTCTTCTCATAATGAATTCCCTAACCAGTGGCTGAGTACGCTGGACTCAGTGTCATTTCCATCAGAACCGAAGTGTGACTCACTGTAGTTGAGATCCCACGTTGGGGAGTGAAGAGACGTCAAGGCCTGATGATGAAGAGATTGTCAAATGGAGGGCAGGAGTTACAGCAAGGCCACACGATAGTGTGACTTTTCTGCCAAATTAATAAACAGGACAACAGAAAACTCTCTTTTTAGATCAGCAACAGCAAATGTTTATGTTGTTTCTCACATTGTAAATCCCATATAGAAGTCTTAAAAACATTTATTTGTACTTTTTTCACTTCCTCGGAAATTAAATATTAATTCCGACACATTTACTTGGTCTCTCTCTCATCGCGTGTTGGTCGAATCTTCATTTCTGTGAATTTTAGTGAGTACTGCCAGCCGGTCCAGGACGACCACTCGATGCCGTCGGCGTAAGAGGTGTGCTGCCCGCGCAGGTATTGCCCGTTCAGGTTGGAGGTGTGGCAGTTCCGGTACCACCAGGCACCATGGTAGAAAGAAGCGCAGTTATTCTCTGAATGATCGTTGTCTCTGTCTTTAGTTGTGAACTTCATTCCGTTATGCTTTAGTAATGAATCGCCTGCGTATATGTGCACACACAAAGAAAAAGAGCAGAAAGACAATTAAATAAAAATGTAGGTCAGATAGTTGTTTTTCATTAATACATTGATCAAAAGAAGCAGTAAAAATGTTTATCTAATTTTATTTAATTTATTCCAAGAGTTCACAGTTAGCTGATGATTGATTATAAAGCTTGTTTGGCATGCTGTCCCGGGAGAGAGCCCTGAGCTCATAAGATCCTCGAGCCTGGGGCTCCCTCCAGTTTGCAAGGCGAGAGGGGAGTTTGAGCTCTGGTAGATCTCGAGAACTCCCCTGCTGTAGTAGCTAATGAACAGTGATTGCTCCTAAAAAATAATTACTTACTAGAAGCATGTCTATGATGCTGATTTGGAATAGTCAATTAACTTAAATTGCATGTTTTTGGACGGTGGGAGGAAACCGGGGAACCCCACATGAACATGCGGAGAATGTGTACACTCCACAAAGAAACGTTGACTGGCTTGGTGAGGAATAGAACCAGTAAAGTTCTTGCTGTGAAGCAACAGTGCTAATCACTGGGCCACCGTAGCACCCATCTAGAAAAGAAGGAGGAGTAGGGGTGGAAGGGGGATTCTTCAAAACGAAGATGGCTTTTATAGGGAACCCAGGGAATTTATAGTGGCTTAGGAATCGGTAAATCATAAATTGGATAATGCAGGAGCAGCCGCAGGCAATCATAAGCACAAGATCCTCTTGAAATTAATTTATAAATAAACTTCATTTAATTTGTAATGTAAAAAAAATTGTAATATAAAAAAGCTTTTGTCTAAATGTTTATTAATAATATAGTAATATATCATTATTTTGTATTAAAACCTAAAGTTTGAGTTAAAAAACTGAGAAGTAATTAAAAAGCTGAGCACATCTTGGCAAAGAATACAACTGAACTATATTGAGAAAAATGATCAGAAAATAAATTAATTACCACAATAACATCAATACTCTGAAAACTCTTTGTGGATTTCACTTTTCATTATGTACAGTTAGGTTTGTATGCATGTACAGTTTGTATGCATTTATATGCTTATGAATGTCTGATGATCAGGTTAGATTACATGTGCTTCTATTGTTTGTTTCTGCTTATTGTTCACTTGTTCTGTATTATTTCAAAGAATGCAAAACTGTATAAACATGGAAACCCTGTCAGTGGTGTAGTGTCATAAAGAACAAATCTTGCCAATGGGAAGGGATGAGTTAAGATGAATATAAAGTAGGGCAAACCACTAAAATATCTACAGCATACAATAATTAAGAATATGGTTTATATAAGATTGCATGAGAATGCTTTGTTCATAACTACAGCAACTGTATAGACCCTCACAGTGTTTTGTTCCAGAATCATTACTGTTCTACAACTAAATCCCTCAACCGCCACTTCATTATGGAGTTGTGATGGAACTGATGATAAGAGACTGTTTTTTTCAAAAACAATTCTGAATGTTACTGTATAATTAGGCTGCGACAAAGCTGACTTGTGGTATTCTACAAATAACGTTGTGAAACTCATCACTGAAAGCCATTTCACACTAACGACTCCAGATGCCCAGGAACACAAGACAAGTTAGCATACAAAAGAAAACTCGTCTCATCTCTGTGGCCCAGATGAAAGCTTTTTCAGCATTTTACTCCACTTCTGTGTGATTAATGTATATGGAATTACAGTCTTTCCTATGCTTTGTTTCTGTCTCTCTCTGTCAGACTGTAATTCTTCAAAACATCACCTTTTTGCAACACTTTAAAAGTAGGAAAACTCACTCTGGGTTGAGTCCCTCCTCATCAGTGATATTTTAATAATTCTTTTTCAGTAACTCACACACAAACACAAGAATAGATGCTGCTCCATAATTAGCTGAACAAATGTGTGAAGTTATGCTTTTTCTAAAAGTGGTCTTGGACAGCTTAGTTGAATGAAACAAACTCAAAGTAGCTTGAGTCGAAAAAGTGCTGTGATTTGCTGTTGATATCAGAGGTAGACACACAGTTCATGAAACATATATTACCATGTGTCAAGTTCATTTTTATCTAACATTTTTTTTTGGCAAAGGCTTTACACTAAACAAATTGCCAGCCTTTCTAAATGTCAATGTATTTGAGTCACTTCATGTCACATTAGAAATTGTTATAAAAAAAGTATTTAATATAAATTTACTGAAACATTACAAATGTCTTTGCTTGACCAATTAAATGCATCCCTGCTAACAAATCAAACTTACTGTATTATTATAAACATCTGTGGTGATTTATACCACTTTACTGTGTGTGTCTATATAGTTCTGTGTAATAAAAACGGAAACACGGAAAAATTAATGAACACATGAAGAACGGGAGATGTAAAAAACATGGTAAGGCCAGACAGCAGCTGAAATCTCTCATTAATTAGAAAGCAGCCATGAGCCCTTGTCAGTGTAAATGAATATTAGCTGTTACAGCGATTAGGCATTTCAGAAAGACAATGACGGCAAATACAGCCAAGGAAACTCTCAACTGGTTTCAAAAAAGAAAAGAAAAAAATGGCCCACGCAATCACCTAAACTAAATCCAATAGAAAATTAGAACTAGAGTTAGGTTGCGTTCACACCAGACCTGGACGAAGTGTGGAGCACAAGTCATTAACATGTTAAGTCAATGCGAGTTTAGTGTTTTGCATGTTTGACACATATATCGCGCAAATCCCTCAGGTTGGAAAATCTGAACTTCAGTGGAAATTTACGCTGCGTTATCCAATCAGGAGCTTGCTCTTGTAGGAACGTGATTATGATGTAGTTGTTGGTGTACTAAGAGGGAAATCCTCTTGCCGACAATGGATAACAACTCATCAAAGTGGGCTTGGCTCAGTCTGAAGCACCACTGAACCGTCCATCATCCAGGTATAGTCTCTGGAGGAGTTAGTGCACCTCTAAAGGATCTAGTGGACACAGACACTGCACAGAACAAATCTACGCTGTTTTTCAGCCTTCCTAAAGCACATAAAGGCACAGGTACTACAGTATCTCAATAAAATCCATGTTAGCCAATTAGCAATGAAGCTAATGTCACCAGGCAGACAGAAGCCCTGCCCATGAATAAAATTTGATGCACGAATGAAGTAAATTTGATGCGTGAATAAATTGAGAAAAATAAAAATGTTGACACATTTGCTTATGTGCGTATAGCATGATTTAGTCACGTATGTCGTGTCTAATGTGAACATAGCATTAGGGTTCATGGATGAAACACAGAGAACAGTCAGGAGTTTTAGAATGTTGAAGTCTGTAAAAAAAAAAAAAAATCACACCTGAGCAAAGCATGCAACTCCATGAGTTAAGTCTATAAAAAATGTATCGTGAAGCTGTCATTACCAAAAAAAGTCTTTTATACAAAGTATTAAATGCATTTTATCAATTCGGTGATTTCTCCTTGAGCAACTCTATAATAAATTTTTCAGACGTTTAATGTGTATGTTTTTATTAAAACATTGTGTTTTTATTAAAATCTGGGTCAACAACTCCTTTAGAAATATTTTTATCAGAAAAATGTCATGTTCAATACTTTATTTACCCGCTGGTAAAAAAGTGGGTTATGACCATGGAATTATGTGGGTCACGGGGATAAACCAATTGACAACCACTTTACTAGTGCATATGACGACTTTCAGAGAGAGCAGAAAATTAAGGTAATAGTGAGAATAATCAGCCAAAATATTACTGAAATTAAATACGCTGCATGGAAGGAGCATAACATAATATTCAGTATTAAAAAGAAAATAATGGAACAGTAATATATTTTCCCTCCACTTATTTGCGTTTTTATACTTTTCATTTCCTTCATAATACATTTTCAAACCCCCCTGGTCCAAAGAACACAGTAGCCTCACACAGCATTTGCTTTACAAACAATTTCCAAAGTATTCAACTTATATTCACTTGTTTTGTGCGGCCAGGAAAGAGTGATGTCTTTCAGACCTAAAGTGTGGCAAGAACATAAAAAGAGTCAACCTGTGAGTCAATGACAATTTGACTTCAATGCCACCTTCCCTCTTGTAGTATCAGTCTCATCTGATGGCAACAGGTGCTGTTGAGCAACAGAAATACACCTTCCCCATTTCCGTGGCAGAAAGGAGAATTTGGAAAGCCATCGGGCCTGCTGTCCACTTTGCTGAATTTTTTGGCAGAAGAGCAGGATGGTGATGTGTTTACTGCCCTGTAAACTGTTATTGTAAGCTTAACACGGACACAGACTACATTCCAAACAAAAGCTGGAACACAGTGTTCCATGGAGATGGAGAGAGAAAGCAGAAAAAAGAAAGTGTACCAGGATGAGTACAATAGAGGTAAATGTCAGGTGGTATTTCCAAACCTCACTGGGATTCCTTCAGAACCCGTTTGTATTTAACCTTTTATCCAGCCTAAAATACAACAGATGATACGCAGAAGAGGATAACATTTGCGGAATGAAAGCGTTAAACCCCATTCCTATTCCTGAACAGCTCGTGACCTTGAAGATTTCCAGCTTTCTGATCCGCAGTCAGTTTTACACAATAACGTCAAAGACAATACAGCGAGAAACGGATCCCAGACCGGAGCTCAATTTCCCCCTGGAAGCACACGTCATTCAAGCTTGACAGATTTAGTCCGCAGCGATGGGAATAAGCCATTAGTCACACTAGGGTCGCATGAAGCCCATTGAAAATACTTGTATTGCTGCCGTTGACACTTCTGCATTAAGAGTGTTATAGCACAGACATGTCCTTGCAGACTCTCCCATTCGCTCACATACTCTTGGGAACACTTTTCATTTGTCAAGAGAATGTTATAATCTCAGAAAAGCTTCATGTGTTATTACCATGTGTGACTGTCTAAAAAAACACCGCACAAACATGCAACCTGCCCAAAACATAAGTCCACAAACATACATGGGCTACTTTTTGCTCACAAGCCAGCAAGAATAAGAAGTCACCTTGACACTGTTTGTGTTTTGAGACGTATTAGAGCCCACCAGACTGGACCAGAGCACAACTGCCTGTCAAAATTCAATGCAAATGATCACAATAATACTCTCAGTGCTGTGATTAGGGGAGACCTGTCAGGCAGAAAACAAGAAAGCCAGCAGCTCAAGGGCATGAAGACGCTGCCCAGCAGAGACCACCTGCTCACCTGACACCAGCGCTACAGACATGATCCAATTCAGGGCCGGATATACCTGCTGTACCGTCAGGAGATCTCTCACCCCTCTCTTTTATGCTCCCTCCATGCTGCATTTTCCTCAGCTCCAGCCCTCAAGTTCAAACTCGCAATGCTCTTTCTATTTCTGCTTATTTCGCGCCCTCTTGTTTCTTGTAGGACTCTGAGGGGCTTTCAAATTGTGTCTGTGTTCTTGACATTTGTCTTGACATCTTTGACATTTGTCTAGGTCAGTGGTGATAATTGACTGGAAGACATTTCATCTTCTGAATGCAGTGGTGGATTGAGAAACGTTTACACATGTAAAAAGAAGAGAAAGAGTAAAGAAGCATGTTTCTAGTTACTTTTGAGCATATAAATATATATATATTATTAATGAGAAAGGAACAGAGTAAAAAGTTTCTTTTTGTCTTTAATAAATCAGAAAATTAACACAGCAAATGAAGCAAAAGTGCCAACCTTTAACCCTCTGGGGTCTGAGGTGATTTTGGGGTCCCTAAGATGTTTTGACATGCCCTGACATTTGTGCTTATTTCAGCTACTTATTACATAGTATTGGGAAACATGTATTTTTATTTTGTATTCAGCACAAACTGGACTACAATAATTTGTGAGAAATACTGATGTGCATGCAATTAGGTAACACTTTATTTTGATGGTCCACTTGAGTATTAGCAAACTGTCTGCTTAATATTTGTTGATATGCTCCTTCAACAGACATTTAACTGACTATAAGAACCTTTCCAAGTAGATGTCAAATTACATTAACCCCAACACTGACCCCAACCTAACAGTCTATCTAATATCTAATGAGAATTATTTTGCATTTAGATGCAATGTAACTTACATTCAACAAACTGACCATCAAAATAAAGTGTGACCAAAAATTATGCATGGTTAGTAGGTTTTAGAGAAAAAAAAAAGTAGCCGAACAAAGGTTCAAAAAGCCAATTTAAATTGGCCTGAACAAGACTTTTGAGAAACCAGTCTTGAAGGCTAGAACATTTACTTCACAATTATGCAAAAAAATTTCTCTTCTCTCATTCAAGGAAAACATTGCAACATTTTACATTTTGCAAAGTCTGTTTTGTGTCAGCTCAGCTGTATGCGTGTGAGTGACTATGGTCATGAATAATTCACCTGGAGAGACAAAAGACACTCCCCCATTCACTAATGTTCACCCATCAAGGGCATTTTAAAGCAATGTCCAGCTGCAAAAGCTAGCCCAAACTAAATGCCTGTTGTTTTACTTGTTGCATTATGGCCATGTAAACACTATGGGTAAACAATGTATGTGCACTTAAACAGCATGCACAAAATATATTTGAAATAGTATAAAATGTGTTTGCAAAACTGTTGTAATAATAAATATTTCTTGTGCATCAATCCAGCATTTAATAATACTTTCTAAATGACTCCGAGACACAGAAGTAGCTTAATGACAAAAGCTTTAAACATAAGAATAAATAATATTTTAAACATGAAAAACTTTACATCAAAATAATATTTTAAGACCTTTTAGTTTGTGGAGAAAATAAAGAATGCAAACAGTGTTTATTTTCCTTATTTTGCAAAAGCACACACTTTTGTTGTTATTTTGAGTGTACACAAAAACGTAGACACATAACAGATTCGACTGATGCATGATCAAACAGATCTTTCTGCATGATCAAAACTAAAAGTGTAATTTACATTCTTTTCCTCATTATCACGAGAAGACGCCTCAAACTGCGTATACAGTTAAATCTTTAAATCTACTCTTAAAAGTAAATCTACTCTTAAAAGTACACATTTACCCCAAGACCGTCAAATAGATGTAACAAAGTAAATAAAGTAATTTTTTTACTGCCCACCCTAATCTGTGTGAATTCACACTTGTGAAAGCTGTTACAATTAAATGTAAAATAGTGCAATTTATTCAAAAGTTGCATAAAATTACTAAATTTGAATAAGCTAGGGGTCTTGAGTATCTTAAGCAATATGAAAAGCCACAAAATAACAAGGAAAAAAACACATCTATTGAGTTTTCCTTGCAGACTGCATGCAAAATACAACACGATACACAATGTGACCAATGTGGTCTGATTTACAAATGATACTCATGAATATTATTCTTATGCAATCATCCCATCAAAGGATTGCTCATTATTGCACACTTTGAAATAATTCATTCCAAAGGAAGTGGTGTAGTCTGATTTATGAAACTGAATTTTGGGAATCTGTTTTGGTAAATTTGTGTTTTTTGGAGCTGTGGAGTGTTTACAGTGTCTTAAGTGCCATGAATATTCTGTGTATGCCATCAAGCACTGAAATGGATCAATTATCTCAACAATTAAGCATTTAATAGTGTTGACGGAGATTTTATCTTCCTAACTGATTTGCATAGCGGGTTGTTCAAAGTTACTTGAATATAAAGCATGCGATTTCAACAAGGCATACTAATTTCAGGATATTCAAGATATTGACCCTTTATCTTTAGTTTTATGTATTTATTATGTAAATATGCATGTGTGTACCTGCAGTGCCGGTATAATCAGCAATGGTGAGGGGGTACCCGTCATCCTCTGGATCAACAGAGAACAGCCCAACTCCAAACACACCGTACTGTGCAAAAGCTGTGCTGTTCTCAAAGTCTTCCAGATCAATGCGCAGTTCATAGTTTCCTTGGATAGAGAGAGCATGGATCTGTTTCAACCCTGATGAGAGAGAGAGAGAGAGAGAGAGAGAGAGAAAGAGAGCAATTACTTTATTTATTATTTTCATTCATAAAAAGTGTAACTGGATTATGACAGTAACATTTATATTAGGACTGTATGAACGAGAATTAAGAAAAATGTTTGAATTAATTAACTGCACAGGTTTCTATAAATTATCATCAGCTTAAATCTATTTATACTCTAATTCCCCAAATGAATGCAGAATCAACAATAAAGTATATTTTAAATTATCTTAATTTAATTGTACCTTTACATCATTATGAAATGCTTTTTTAAAGCTATAAAGATTTAAATTTCACTGAAGAATTTTTTTCTAATTCAACATTTTATATATTCACATTGTGTCATGTCAGTCAATTCTATTTACTATCAATTTCTGGGCAAAATTAAGAAGGCAAATACCAATTAAAACAAAGGTCTCATTTATGAGAAGTTAATTTGAACTAAATTACAACTGGTGCATACAAAATTGAGACTCTTTCCGCCTCATTCAATGTAAGATTTATTTTGAAAAGGAAAAGAAACCTGATAGTTTCCTTTAAAATGTAGGTTTTAAATGTAGGCTTCATTTAATGTCAAAACACATTTCCATACTTTTCTATGGGTCCTTCTTTTGACAAATAAGTTTTATATAGTCATTGAATAGACTTACAATAATCACAACCCATTCATTCATTCATTCATTTATTTTCTTTTCAGCTTAGTGCCTTTATTAATCCGGGGTTGCCACAGCGGAATGAACTACCAACTTTTCCAGCACGTTTTACGCATCAGATGCCCTTCTAACCACAACCCATCTCTGGAAAACATCCACACACACACCTATTGACACACTTACAAAACGGACAATTTAGCCTACTCAATTCACCGGTACCGCATGTCTTTGGATTGAGGGGACCAGAGCTACCGGAGGAAACCCACGCAAACGCAGAGAGAACATGCAAACTCTACACAGAAATGCCAATTGACCCAGCCAAAGCTCGAACCAGCGACCTTTTTGCTGTGAGGCGACAACACTAACTACTGCGCCACTGCGTCGCCAATAATCACAACTTCCAGGATTAATTTCCTGTTATGCATAAACTTACAAAAACAAACAAGAAAAAAACAACAACAACAAAACCCCAAAACAAAAACAAACACCCCAAATAAGTATAACATACAGTTATAAAAAACAACAACAACTCTTTAATTACAATACATGACTAAGGTTGGGACCTTTCTATGGACCCATAATTGCCTGTACACATGTTAGCTGTTAGTCCACACGTACATAATCTCTGGGATAAGATTAGACCACAATATTCAAACAGCATAAACATAAAGTCACAGGAACTAAAAAGAAAAACCATAGTCTCAAGAAAGTGGAAAAACAGGCTGCATAAATGGTTACTTTTTCTTATATTTTTCTTACACATCAGATAACTGATCCCCAAAATTAACACATTTTTCCCATCCCACTATGAACGTGTGATTTGCTCACACTATCTGTGGCTTGCATAAAATAAATAAATAAATAAATAAAATGCAGAAGCATCTATTATTATGCAAAGTGAATGCACACTTTCAAAATTTATACACGACTACTATGCATTAGGTCTTCCTGGAAAACAACAAGGTCTTAGGGGAGATTCGCTCTTTTCATATTTTGTTGTTTTTATATTACATTCAGCCCCATCAGCACCAGACAGTGAAAGTCTCGCAGCATTGTCCTCAAATATCAACACTTAGTTGAATTATTTAAATTAATTTGACATAAAGGACACCCTACCACCACACACTTTGGCTCCACACGTAAGAAAACAGACAATATTTTAATAAAATAGGTGCAATGAATGAAAACTGAAAAAGAATGAGAAACAGGAGTGCATTCAAAACCAAAACTCTTTCTGCCTCATTCAAAACATAAAAAATATATAAAAGATTTATTTTTGAAAAGGATAAGAAACCTGCTACTTTCACTTGGAATTTACATAACTTTAATTCAAGCTTAATGAAAACCCTTGAGATTTTTTCAGAGGCTTGTTTGGAATAATTAAACATAGGGAGTATTTTACACCCTCTTTGCTTTTCTACCAAAGAAGGGGCAAAAACAGGCGAGTCTGTGCACATTACACTCAGGTGTGCCTGAGTTTTCAATTAAACATTATTGTGAAGACATTTCAGATGTAAGAACTAAGCAGCATTTTGTCTTGAATTATCATACTGATTGCTCAATTAACAAGCGAGAGTGAATGTGAGTCAGAGTGTGCTGTTGGATGGCTTTATCAGGTGAATGCTTCTTCTTTGATTATTACAAACTAAAGCAGAAATTACCATGATGTTTTCCTTCCATATCTGAGCAGAGAATCATTCAAGTTACTTACTCATGTGATTGATGAATTAGATGTGTAATATGCTGTTCTTCATAATTTTTTTTCCCCGATTCAAGAACATCAGATGAAAAGCATAAATGTAAAATTATATGTTTGTTTTTGGTTATTATAACCACTAAGAAAGCATAATGTCCCTCTTGAACTCCACAAAACCCGACCAAAGCCACTAGGGGTGTAACGGACCACTGTTGATCCGTAATTCGTAAGGATCACAACCCACGGTTCGAAACACGTGGCCTATGGATTAATGTTTTTTTACTGGTATTATTCCTAAATTTGTAACAATCACAGAGAGATCGCCTTTCGCATCATTCAAATCACATGTATGAAAGCATTTAAGCTTTCCTGTAAAATACAATAATGACGAAAGAAATTTTGGTTGGGATGTGGTGGGTTAGGTTATTAAATGGGTTTTCTGTCAATCCTTGTTTAATCTCCATTAATTCATTCAGTGTAAGTTGCACGATTAATTATTAAAAGATCGGGATCTCAACAATTTCTCAACATAAGCTATAAATAATAGGTATTTACAAATGATTATTAATCTTAAGAGATTAGGTGTTTAGTCTTTTGAGTAAGGCCTAAAGTTACAAAGAGTCAGATAACACAGAAGTATTGGGATAACAGTTTATAGTTTAGATAAAACCACTGATGTTTATGGTAAAGATTAAAATCACAGACATATGCATTTAAAGACGTTAAAAAAAGTTGTAAAATGTTGTGAAAGTGGTAGGAAGCAATCAGCCATCAAAAATATGCCACTGAAAAATTCTTCAAAAATGATACACCTAACAACGAAACATGAAGTTTCTAGAGTGAATAACGAAATCATTTATTGAAAATGAGACCAAAAATAAATATGGGTTGTACAAGTTATGTTAGATTTATACATTTAACGTCATCAGCAACAGTAACAGTGAATTTATTGTTATTCAGCTTGTTATTCCTTCATTTAAAAAATAAAAATAAATACAATTACAGGTTCTAAGTTCTGTTTGTTAAAACCAAAAGCCAAAAGTGTAATGCAGTACTCTCCTCTTTTTGGCTGATCCGAAAAATCGTCCGATTGTGACTAAAAAAACCATAATATTATCCAAATAATAAGATTTGTGATCTGTTACACCACTAAAAGCCACAGTATTTTTTTCCATCAAATTTTTCTTTTATTTTGTATTTTTTGAACACAGAAAAACATGCCGTAGACAATCAGCATGAAACAGAATGTGTAGATATACATACATAAACCAATATACAGTTGTTAAATAATAGTATCAATAATAGCATCAGCCTTGACAACAATGTAATCAGTAAAAAGGAAAAACGGAAGAATAATGACAAGGACATACTATTGCAAATAAAAATGACAAATAAAATAAATTAATACATATATACATATATGCACACACATACATACATACACATACATATATGCACGTACACATACAAACAAACACACATACACCCAGATATGCATACATGCACACATACATACACACACATGCATACACATAAATAAAACAAATTTCAAAACCAAAAAGGCAATGAGCCAAATCTGTACTTAGTGTTAAGTAAGGTTAAGAATAAACCAATCGAAAATAAAAAATTAAATAGAAAAATGGTGATATACACATAGATATAGGTATTTAAAACTGTGCTGAAAAAGGTCTACGACAATGAACGTTATTAGAAGCCCAAACAGGGAACCTTAAATTACTATGAAAAGAGAAAAACAAGAAAAGAAAAGAAAAAAAAAGTAAAAATAATGTAATAATAAAACATAATTCTAATAAATAATAAATGAGGGGGAAAAAAATTAATAAAAAAAAATAAAATAAAATAAAAAAGCCTGGAGCCAGAAGATCATGCTTTTTGATGTCTCATGGATTCAAGTTAGTAAATCTTTAAGTCTGTGTAAAGTTTGCGCCCAAAGTCTGATGGTGTCCTCTCTTGCACCATGGATGCGAGCAGTGGACATTTCCATATATACAATGTCAATAAAAGTATTAATCCAAAAATGATGATTAAGAGAATGAGGGGGCTTCCATCTTGTAGCTAAAAGCCACAGTATTATTAGAAAACATTATTTGCACAAACAACACATAAAGTATCTTTATTTTTATGCATTATATATGAAATTATTAAAGGTAGCATTCACTGCATTTAAGCATTCAAGTTTTATAAGTTATATTACAGAATATAATGAAAATAATTTCTTAAATTGTCCTAATCCAGCAGTTCAGCACAACAAAGCTAAAATATAAACCATACTGTGATTGTACTAAAATAATTCAATCGCAGTATTAGGTTTTAAAGTCTTTGAAAATAAGGGAAATACATGTAGATGGATCAAAAAATACAAATTCAAAATACAGATACAAAAATACATTCATGCATGATTCTGAAATTTGCTATTTAAATGTGTTTTGCTTTTTTAAAACTAGCAGACACATTAAATATTAAAATGCCCCCATACATCCAGACAGTGGGAGCCCCTGGTTTAAAAAATGAAAGATGTTGAGGGAATTAATTAAAATAAGAAATTTTATAGCAGTATTCACCTTGATTTTTAGTTGCCTTTAGCTTATTTAAATTCTTTAAAATCAC